CTGTCTGTCTGTCTGTCTGTCTGTCTGTCTGTTTGTCTGTCTGTGTGTCTGTCTGTCTGTCTGTCTGCCTGCCTGTCTCTCTGTCTTCTCCTCTCCCTCCCAGGAATAATCTTACCAAGAATTTGCCGCCTTCGCAAAATACTTACGCCCCTTCTCGCCATTATTCTATTTGAAATCTGCACCCACCTCCCCCCTTTAAACTATTTGTCCTCCCTTATCATTATGCTACGTAGAAATGGTTCACTTTTGAAGTACTAACAGAGCCCCCTGTTTTGTCTCTCTCTCTCTCTTTCTCTTTCTGGCTCGCTGACTCATACTCGCTCCTTTCCTCTCAAATATCCTTCCCTAACAAAGTTCACCTTCCTCTCAAAAACAAAAGCAAATATAGCAACAACAAGAACAATAACAACAACAATAACAAAAACACTTTCCTAATTATCAGCTCAAATGCAAGGGGAAAAAACATGTAAAAAAAATTGAACCATTTCCAAGGGCGATCTCCACTTCTGATCTAGTTTTCAGACACCTGAAGGGAAAACAATTAGTTCCTGCACAGGGTATTCCAAAAACAGAACAGCTATGAAATCAGACTTCATTTCATTTACAAAGAAAAGTGTTCCCACCGACTGAACGATAGTAAGTTGATCACGCCAAACGAAGAACTCTGAAGTATATCCGAAGCGAGATAAGGTACAGGAAGGACACAGCATCTTTGTTCGTTTGTATGTTTGTTTAAGTAAAGAGAAGCACATCCACCCAATAATGGCCATTTAGTGGTAGGAAAAAGTAAGACAGACAGAATCAACAGCGGGAAAGTAAAGAAGCAGACCAACAAGTGGTGCCATCCAATCACCCGCACACAACAGTCCAGGGATTGCATATTAAATGACATACCAAGACGACCTAATAAAAAATAAATTCAGTCGCAATTTCTCCCCCTCTGTAATTCTGCTCCTTACGTCACCTGCGCAGCGAAAAGACTGGCGTGGTTGATCTGCCCTGGATGACTCGTTTCCCAAAATACCCCGAGCCGATCTCTCCTGTCTGCAAGGCCAAGTAGATCGCCGCTTACAAGTATCGATCTCGTGATAGCTTTGTCTCACCAGCGATCGTGGCAATGAGAGCAAGGAGTTTCTTCACCCACTACTTTCAGGAGGTGGATAAACGTTTCAAACACTTAGTTTTAGTAAGAGTTTTACGCACTAGCAACACAATAAAGTCCTATAAATGCCGAAGATTAGAGGTGTTACATAAGAGAGTAACAAACACAAGAAAGAAGGAGGAGAGATAATAAGGGCGATAGATGTTTGATAGGAAAAGAGTGCGGCAAACATACAAAAGAAGTAGGGGAAAATGACGATAATAAAGATTAAGAAAGAAAGAAAAGGCAGCATTTCCCTGTTGTAGTTCATGCACAGTTATGAGCATGAAATTGTTGAATCAGCCCATTTACAATTCTATTGTGCTTTAGAACGAGAAATGTCCCCCATTTGGGAATGACCTAAAGACACGTCAGTCAGTGGCACCGCCCGCGGGGGGGGGGGGGGGGGGGGGGGGGGTAAAGGGTAATCGCTGGCGGAGTAACTTGCATCATTTGAAAAGTGGGATCGAGTTCTGAGGCAAAATATGAAACTTTTGTTATGAGGCAGCATGTGTCTCTGAGTTTTGTAAATAGTAAAAGCAGGATTGAGTTTAGCTGACTTGGAGTTTAAAGCGTGTCAGCGTGATAAAAGCTGTATATCGCCCGACAGATCAAGACTATTTTTAAAAAATTGAAAAGAAGGAGAAAAATATAGCACATCAGAACGCTCACCAACACGCTCTGCGCAGGGAGAGAACAGAACGAACAACTTTCGAAACCTCACTCTCCTTCCCAACATACAATGCTGTAATCACAAAAAAAACACACAGACAGTAATCGATCTATAAGTTCACAGCTACTCACCCTGATCTGCGCCCGAGCAGTCTCCACTCCGTCGGGCTGACCAGCGATAGACACCTGCAACATTTAGTGACAAGTGGGACGTGTAAGGGCTCATAGTTATACAATGGATCAATTAATAAAAAAACAAAACCCCAAGTCATAATAGCCTGTCATTTACACGTACATATACCCACGTTATAATATACACTCTATGTATGAACATGCACATGCTGACAGACAGAAAAGCACACTGACAGACAATACAAGCAGACAGACAAACATTTACACATGCATACGTACAAATAAGTACTATCCACACAAACCCCTGCCCCC